TGCTTCTGAGAATTTATCCAAAGAAATCCAAAGCACTAATTTGAAAGTATGTATGCCATCTCTAGGTTCATTGCAGCATTATTTACAATAGCCAAGATTTGGAAGCAGCCCAAGTGTCCATCAGTAAATGAGTGGATAAAAATGCTGTGGCATATGTATACAATGGAATACTACTCGGCTGTAAAAAAGAAGGAAATATTACCCTTTGGGACAACATGGATGGACTGTGAGACTATTATGCCAAGTAAAGCCAGTCAGAGAAAGATGAGTACCATAAGATTCCACTCATGTGAAATCTAATGAGCAAAATGAACTAACAAGCAAAATAGAGACAGACTCATAGATAGAGAGCAGGCTGACAGCTGTCGGGAAATGGAGGGTATTGGGAGCCTGGATGGGGAAGGGAGGCATTGGGGAAAAAAAAGAAAGAAAAACTAATGGACACGGACAACAATGTGATTGCCAGGGGGAAGGAGGGTGGGAGAGATGGAGGAGGGTATAGAGGAGATAAATGGCATGGGAGGAGATGTTCAGGTGATGTGTTGTAGAATTGTGCACCTGAAACCTGTATAATTTTTAAAATATATTTTATTGATTTTTTACAGAGAGGAAGGGAGAGAGATAGTTAGAAACATCAATGAGAGAGAAACATTGATCAGCTGCCTCCTGCACACCCCCTAATGGAGATGTGCCTGCAACCAAGGTACATGCCCTTGACCGGAATCGAACCTGGGACCCTTCAGTCCGCAGGCTGACGCTCTATCCACTGAGCCAAACCAGTTAGGGCAGAAACCTGTATAATTTTGTTAACTATTGTCACCCAGTGAATTAAATAAAAAGGAAAAAATGTAAATAAAAATGCAAGTAAAACAGATTGCATGAATGTGCTTCAAGAAATAAGGTGCTGGCAGTTCTGAAACAACTAAATTTGAAGGTGTCACACTGTTTAGCTAGAACATGTTCATGAGCCAAACCACAAGTTGGAAATTCTATTCAGTTGCCATATCTGAGAGTTTCCCCTGTTTAGAAAGAAGGGGACAGAGATCAATACTGTGTTTAAAGTGATGGCAGTAGAAGCTTATCTATTCTTGTTTTGCAGATTTGACCTCAAGAAAAGATTCTTTGAATAAGCTGCTGCCAAAAGGCAGAATAATAAGTTGATCAATGATGCCACCAATTTACAAAAGCTGCCGGTGAATTTGAATTGTCCATTGAACCATAAGGAACTGTTTAGTGGATGGACTTAAGAGATCTGTTGTTGAACAGACTTGGGCTACATTCAAGATGGAAAGGGATTTTATGGCACAGAGAATCCTCTGACAGGACAAGACCTGGTGTCACATACAGATGCAGCAAGGTGGCCTCGCCCCGGGTTGAGGAGCAGATCCTTCCTGCAGAGAAGTCAGAGGTGCAGAGAGTACACAGAGCATGAATCTTCTGGACCTCATGGTCAGTGTTGCAGCAGAAACTTTGAAGCTTACTCGGTGGAAGGCTATTTTGTATACCAAATGGGGAATGTACCTGGAGATCTAGAAGCCCAGCAAAAGAGGAGACTTTGTTATAGCCTTCCCCAAAACCATTCCTAGCAATACACACCAGACTCGTAAGAGAAGAGAATACCAATAGATTCTTCCAGAGGGTGCACATCTCCACAGTTCACTGGAACACTTAGAATGATCTATTATTTCTTAGCCTATGGAGATAATGTATTTTTTAAATGAGTTTCAACTATAAAATAATTTCTTCCACCTTGGGACACAACACTTCTCAGAAGCTCAATTTTTTTTGTACTTCAGGCATATTCACATACATGTAGCTGGCTATCATTTTGCTGGCCCTCATTTAGCCATTTTGAACAGAAACAGATAAGTTGAAGAATAGCCACATCCCTGAAATTCACAGGAAAAGGTGTCAAAAAAAACCCCGCACAAAACACGGCAAAAACATCCAGCAATTAATGTGGAAGAATTCATCCAGTAACCATCTGTTTCGGCTGCTGCCAAGTGAACTTTTCCAAAATTTTGGTAATGCCAATTTTTGCTTACAGACAAAGATAACTGACCAAGAAGAAAAATTGCAAAACTAAAGTAGCAGCCATGCTCTATTTCTCAGAAAAGGGGGGTTACGGATGGCAAAAAAGAAGCATGGCCATACCTGTCTATCTTTACTTAGGCTCATCCTATCTAATAAAAGAGAAACATGGTAATTGGCGTACGACCGCTACCCTTCCCATTGGCTAATCAGGGCAATATGCAAATTAACTGCCAGCCAAGGTGGCGGCCGGCAGCCAGGCAGCTTGAAACTAACATGAGGCTTGCTTGCTTCAGTGACAGAGGACTCCAACGTTCCCCACCTGCTGCTACAGGCCTCTGAGCTGCAACTCTAAGCAACTATGTAACAAATATAGAAGATAAACAAAACCCCAGAAACCTGCTTTAGTCCACCAGGCTTCAGCCAGCCGGATCGCAACATTGTAAGCAAAGGCCAGAAACCTACTTTCAGCAGCGGAGGCCTAAGAGCTGGAGCCAAGCCTCAAAGCTAAAGCTGGCCCAGATTAAAAAAAAGAAAAGAAAAAAAGGAGCGGTTGGGAGCTTCAGTTACCCCCAGCCTGAAAATAGCCCTCAGCCCCTCACCCAGACTGGCCAAGCACCCCAGTGGGGACCCTCACCCTGAAGGGTGTGTGACCAGCTGCAAACAGCCATCATCCCCTCACCCAGGCTGGCCAAGCACCCCAGTGGGGACCCCCACCCTGATCCAGGACACCCTTCAGGGCAAACCAGCTGGCACCCACCTGTGCACCAGGCCTCTACCCTATATAGTAAAAGGGTAATATGCCTCCCAGCACTGGGATCAGCGTGACAGGGGGCAGCGCCCAAACCCCCTGATCACCCTGTGGCTCTGTGTGTGACAGGGGGCGGGGCCACAACCTCCCTATCCGCCCTGCTCTGTTCGTGACAGGGGAAGGCGCCCCAACCTCCTGATCAGCCCTGCTCTGTGCCTGATATGGGGGAGCTCCCCAACCCCCTGATCGCCCTGCGGCTCTGTGTGTGACAGGGTGCGTCGCCCCAACCCCCTGATCTGCCCTGCTCTGTGGGTGATAGAGGGGGGCGCCCCAACCCCCCCCCCCCACGGGCCCTGCTCTGTGTGATGGGGTAGAGCCATAACCTCCCCATCGGCCCTGCCTTGAATGTGACAGTGGTGGTGCCCCAACCCCCTGATCAGCCCTGCTCTGTGGGTGATGGGGGCGGTGCCCCAACTCCCCTATCGGCCCTACTCTGTGAGTGACGGGGGGAGCTCCTCAACCCCCTGATGGGCCCTGCTCTGTGCATGACAGGGGGGAACTCCCCAACCCCCTGATCGACCCTGCTCTGTTCGTGACAGGGTAAGGAGCCCCAATCCCCCTGATGGGCCCTGCTCTGTGCATGACAGGGGGCAGCGCCCCAACCCCCGGATTGGCCCTGCTCTGTGGGTGACGGGGTGGCGCTGCAACCTCCCCATCGACCCTGCCTTGAGTGTGACGGGGCGGTGCCCCAACACCCCAATCGGCCCTACCCTGAGCGTGACTGGGGGTGGCATCGCAACTTCCCGATCTGCCCTGCTCTGTGCATGACAAGGGGCGGCGCCCCAACACCCCAATCGGCCCTGCTCTGAGCCCAACCAGGGGCTGCACCTAGGGATTGGGCCTGCCCTCTGCCACCCGGGAGCAGGCCTAAGCCAGCAGGGCGTTATCTCCTGAGGGGTCCCAGACTGCGAGAGGGCACAGGCCGGGCTGAGGGACCCCGCTCACCCCTGAGTGTACAAATTTTTGTGCACTGGGCCTCTAGTCTTATCTAATAAAGAGGGAATATACTAATTGACCTTCACACCATCGCAAAGATGGCGGCACCCACAGCCAATAAGGAGGGAATATGCTAATTGACTGCCCCACCCTCAAAGATAGAGGCATCCACAGCCAATAAGGAGAGAATATGCTAATTGACTGCCCCACCCTCAAAGATGGCGGTGACCACAGCCACAAGATGGTGGTGCCCAGTTCCCTCAGCCCCGCTGGGGCAGCAGGCATGTGGCAAGGCCGGGCCCACCCCTAGGCAGGCCCGGCTGCTTGGCATGCCTGCCTCCAGAGTCCCCCAGTCCCCTTAGCCCCCCAGCCGCCCAGGGCTGGCCCGAGGTGCAGGCAAGCCTCAGCTGTCAGCTGCCCAGCCGCCCAGGGCAGGCCCGAGATGCAGGCAAGCCTCTGATGGCAGCTGCCCAGCCTCCCAGGGCTGCCTGAGGCTCAGGTAACCAGGGCTGGCTGAAGCTTGCGCTACCGGCAGTGGCAGCAGCAGAGGTGTGATGTGGCGTCGCCTTCCCCTGATTGCCGGGTCGCCTCCCGCCCTGAGGGCTCCCAGACTGTGAGAGGGGGCAGGCTGGGCTGATGGTCCCCACTTCCAGTGCATGAATTTTCATGCACCGGGCCTCTAGAATAAATAGTACAAAAGTGAACTCTAAAAAAAATCAGTGTACTTATCATTAAGCATTTTTGGCATTTTGATAATGAAATGAAATGAAATGTAAACAAGATGTGTTAATCCAAAAAAGGCTGAAGATAATTCTTATGTGAATTCTGTATAAGTTTTACTAAAATCAAGCTTTAAAAACACTGTTCCGACAAAATACAAAAAAAGAATTACTATTATATACTAAACAAGTGTAGGGCACCATAACTCAAATTGTGGGCATATGTTCTAATCACATTTTTCAGCTTTATGGTTATTTGTTCTAGTGCTTTGGAAGGTAGCATAACAGCTCAGTGATCAAGGAGCACAGGCGAGAGTGTGACCAGGGTCAGGCAGACCTGGGTGTGAGACCTGGCCCCACCACTGATCTACAGTGTTTGGTTTTGAGCCTCGTTTTCCTTCTCTGTAAAAAATAATAATGGAGCCTATCTCATTAACACTATTCAACAGGCATGGCCATTATCATCATTAATAACAAACATTAATATTTTGCTTCTGTTGTAGATGATGTTAAAAAACTATTAAGAGAGTTAGATGTCATGAACTCTGTTATTGCGCAGCTTGCTCCGGAAGGTAAATTGGCATCCTATATGTGTTTTTAAAAATGGGGCTGGTGTACTTTTCACACTTGAATACACTACTTATTAAAACTGCCTATGAAATATCAATTGTGAATTGTCATTAAACTCTCTCAAGCCAAGATGGGCTCCAGCCAAGGTAAGATTTGTGGAGCTTTGGTTTTCAGAACATGCTTGAAAGCAATGGCTGAATAGGTATTTAGCATACTCATGTCATTTATTTTTCGTATGCAGAAGAGGTAGTTATCCACGAGTTTGCTAGTCTTTGCCTAGCAAACATGTCTGCGGAGTACACCAGCAAAGTGCAAATATTTGAACACGGTGGCCTAGAGCCTCTCATCAGACTGCTGAGCAGCCCAGACCCCGATGTGAAGAAGAATTCCATTGAGTGCATTTACAACCTGGTGCAGGTAAGTTTCGTTCCTAAAATGTATTTTGACCAAAAGTTGATTGTAGGATTTGCTTTCCTATTAAAAAGAAAAAGCCTGAAACTCGCCGGTTTTAATTAATACTTCTTAGTACTATTTAATAGTGATCATTCAGATATAAAGGACATTGAGTGTAGATTCCTTTCCGTTTTTGCGTTTTACAAGTATTTGTCTCCCATGAAAGGGCATTTTATAAATGTATTTAAATTTTAAAAGAATGGCATGGTTTACAAATTAAGGTGGGATTATACTAGATAAGATGTATCTCTTCTGAAACAGGAAATCTAATATTCCTGTTTAACTAGGTTTGACCTGGGCAGTTACTATTGACCTAACCTTGGTGATCTAAGCACAGTGGGTATGATATACGCCCTCCTCAGTGTCCCAGGATTTGGGGACAGGTGTATTGGTGAAAGCCTAGTGAGCTGAGGACACTGAACAGAACTCATCAGTCACAGTTGCAAGATGTGACCTCACTGTGCTGCTCTCTCTTGTAATGGAAACTGACTACGTTCTCCTCCCCAATCTGGCTTGTCCTCTGTCCCCCACCTCTGCCCCACCTCCCAACGCAGCATTTGCATTCTTACACCCACAGCAGGTCAGCTCCCTGACTCTATGGACATCCTTCGCTGCTTCTTTCCTCGCTCAGGTTTCTGAACAATTCCCACGCACATTTGATCAGCTTAGATCAACTGAAAATACAAAAATACCACTCTAAGTAGCTATCAGTAGAGTGTGAAAGGAAGAGATGGCAAAGCAGAGATGAGGGAGGGTTCTGGGTAAACTGTCTCTACGAATCATACAGAAAAAGAGAGACCCAGAAGACTATGCCAAAGGCAGCAAAAGCATTCATTTGTGGCCTTAGCAGTCCTTGCACTTGGCTGGGAAGTGACTGGTTTTACCATTGCTTCTCCCTAAAAGGGCATCCTGGAAAAACAGCTCAGCTCTGTTTCCCTTTTCGGGTTACTTAAGACTTTACCTTTTTCAAAAGGCCAAAATAATCCTCCAAGAGTGTGTGTGTTTTACATCCCAAGTCTCTTTCCAGCTCTTTTTGCCTTTATTTTTTAAAAAATATGTTTTTACTGATATTCGAGAGAGAGGAGGGAGAGAGATAAAGAGAGAGAACCATTGATGAGAGAGAAACATCAATTGGCTGCCTCCTGCACGCCTCCTACTGGGGACCGAGCCCAAAACCCAGCATGTGCCCCAACCAGGAACCAACGGTGACCTCTTGTGCAGGGGACCATGCTCAATCAGCTGAGCCACACTGGCTGGGTTCCCCATATATTTTTTTAAATCAAACAGAAATGAAAAGACCTCCACTACTAATAACAGAAGCACTAGTTAGTAATCGTGTTATTAGTTTCTTAGGACTGTTGTAACAAAGTACCACACGGGGTGGCTTCAAACAATGGAGATTTATTCTCTAACAGTGCTGGGCGCTGGAATTCTGAAATCAAGGTGTCAGGGGGCCGTGCTCCCTTTGTGATTCTGGGTAGAACCCTTCCTTGACTCTTTCTGCCTCTGATGATGGCATCAATCCTTGATGTCTCTTGGGTTGCAGCTGTAGCACTGCAACCTCTCCCTCTTCCATTTCCTCTCTTTTTATAAAGACACCAATTTTATAAGGACACCATTAAGTACCTACCCTAAGCCACTAGGGCCTTACCTTAATTATATCTGCAATTACCTTGTTCAAATAAGGTCACATTTTTTAGGAACTGAGGGTTAGGACTTCAACTTATATTTTGGGGGGATACAATTCAACCAAAAACAAAACAAAACAAAAAAAAACCCACAGAAACCTCCAATTTTTATATCTGAAGGAAGCTGAATATTAACAGTTGAAGGATGGATAGAGGAAAGCTAAGCTGTAAGTGAGGCCTTTTCCACTTTCAATACTTTTTTACATTTACACATTTGATTTAAAATGTCAGAGTTTGGGAGCTTTTCATGGCATTTTGTCTTGTTTTCTCCACTGTTCACTCTAACCAACCCCTTCCTACCCAACTCACACACACGAAATTACAGACAATGCAGAGCAATTTGCCTAGACTCTAATGACCCCTTGATATTATAAATGTCTTAAATAAAGGTCATGTGTCTGAACTAAACCTGATGTGAATTTGCATGCCCAGAGCCTGCAAATAGCATTGCATTTCAGAAACGATCCTTTTGAATAAAGATAATAAAGAACTGATGCCATAATTTCATCTTATCAAATACTATTTGACACAGGACAGAGAATGTGAAAAGAATTTCATTATGCATAGCTTTCATTGTAATACTATTCATGGTAATAAGAACTTGCTATGAAATAAAGAAACAATAGCTACTGCATAAGTCATAGATATGTCTATTTCCTGTTATTGACAATGCCTGCATAGTTACAAGGAATATTTTGGTGTTGTCGATTGAGGGTTTGCTTACTTTGGTTTATGAATTATTTTAGAAGGGAATCTGGAATGAAAGATTTCAAAGCTATAAGTTAGAATATTCTTTGTTAGAAAATAGAAATTCTAGATTATTGAGGCTATATTTTGCTTTAAAATTTACTTATTTGATCGTTTGTATTTCATGGCAGGATTTTAAGTGTCGAGCTACACTTCCAGAACTAAATGCAATCCCTCCTATATTAGAGCTTTTTAAGTCAGAATATCCAATTATTCAGTTGTTGGCTCTCAAAACCTTAGGTGTTATTACAAATGATAAGGCGTCACGAGCAATGCTAAGAGACAATCAAGGGATGGACCACCTTATTAAGATCCTGGAAGCTAAGGTATTTAAAACATTTATTCAATTGTCTATGAGGAAATGTATCTCTCCTAAATGTTTCTATGAAATGTAATGTACAGCATTGTGATTATAGTTAATAATACCGTATTGCACATTTGAAAGTGGCTAAGAAAATAGATCTTAAAAGTTATCATCACAAGAAAAAAATTTTGTAACTATGTAAGGTGACAAATGTTAACTAAACTTGTGGTGATATTTGTAATATATTGAATCATTCTGCTGTATACCTTAAATTAATATAATGCTATATGTCAATTATACCTTAATCAAAATCTTCTGGTTAAGAAAATTTAAGGTTTTAAAGTACTGTTTATGATCTTCATGATTTCCTGAAATGGCTAGAATTCGTTTTTTAACCTTTGTCTGCCATAACTTTCTCTAGGGTAAAGCAAGATGAGTAATTTACCCCCACATTATGGAGGGTACTTTGCTTTACTCAGTCTACTGATTTGAATATTAATTATATCTAAATAATTAATATTTTTAGATTGAGAATAATATTTGATCAAATATCTAGATACTGAGGCCTAGCCAAGTTAAAACATAAAAATTAACAATTACAAATTCACTCTTGCCAATTTGGCACCCGTACACATCTTAAATCACACTTAATTTCCAAATAAAGACAATAACATTGTCCTACTTCTGCCTAACATGGTACCGATATCCTGTGTACCACTGAAGATGCACTGACATTTTTCCCAGAAAAGGATGCATAGTCTTTGGATGATGTTTACTCTTCTCCTTGATATCCCATAACTTAAATACTGTGAAGTAAAATGAACAATACTTAAATACTACTAGTAGTTCTAAAGTCAGATATCTTATGTAAGGGAATTAAAGAGGGAAGAAATTAAAGATGCTGCATATACACACATAGTCGTAACAAAATAAGGAAGAAATATTCATAACAATGATAGCCTCTTTTCTATAACTGGCTGTGCGGTCATAGTTGGTATTTGTAACTGCCTTTTTCACTACCCATCCCATATTCCCTTTGCCCTCAGCAAGGGCCTTGGCTCATTGTAGTTCTTTTCCTGGTGGAGTGACCTGAATGTTCTTCCTAAAGTGTCTGGGCCGGTTAGTAGTCTGCCGGGATTGGGTTATTGTAGCTTTCCATCTACTTTAATCACCAGGCATAATAATAATAGGAGACACCCCAAGGGATCGCCTGTATTCCAGATATACTCTTTCTTACCTCTATTGTGGAGGAGCAATCCAATTTCTTCTTGGTGGTAAGGACCAATCACCCCAGCCAGCACAGTAACTCCTTTCTTTGCCTGGTGATTTAGAGGCATAAGGAGCCCAAACTGGCCAGGCAGCGATCTTTTCTGTAGGTGTCTTCTGATAGAAGCATTTCTCTCTTTGAAGCTAAGGCCTCTTGATCAGCAGAACATAAGGTCACATAGACAGCCAAAATATTTGTATGTGGGCCACTAGAGATAATAATGAGTGAGTGGTATCCCTCCCATTTCCTGAGTCCTGGGCCCATGAACCCTGACTATGGGAGAAACAGCACCATATACTAGTACTAGATACCAATTCAGAACTTATACAGCCTCCTGGAGGACCTCACCCGAGACCTACAAGTTATTGCCACCTGGCTGCCCTGTAACTGAACCTCAAATAGGCCATTCTATCAAGTCAGCTGCTCTAGGATGATGAGGACCAGGGTGAGGCCCTTGAATTCCAGGAGTATGGGCTCAATGCCACACTTCTTTTGCTGTGAAGTAAGCTCCTTGACCAGAAGCAATGCTGTGTGGAATACCATGACGGTGACACATCTTCCTGTGTTTCTTTCACTTTAAGGATTTCCATCTTAAATCTCTAGCTCAGGTAAGGCTGCCGTTTTCCACTGCTGTGGGGATTTGGGAGATTCCTCAGGCAAGAAAGCCACACACTCACATGCTTCTCTCTACCAGTTGGAGATTTTAAGGAATATACTTTCCTTCAGCTTCTGTCTGCTTTTTTAAAACAATTTTTCTCCAGATTTGAACATTACTTTTGGTGAAACGTATGAGCACCTTCACTTGAATACCATTACCGGAAGTTTCCAGTAATTATTTTTATCTATAAAACCCTTTGGAGTAGGGGAGATGAGAAAAGACGGGGCAAACGGTTAGGGCAGTGGTCAGCAAACTGTGGCCCCTTGAGTGTGGCTTTTCCACAAAATACCAAGTGCAGGCACGCACGTACAGTGCGATTAAAACTTCGTGGCCACACTCAAGGGGCCAAAGAGCCGCATGTGGCTCGTGAGCCGCAGTTTGCCGACCACTGGGTTAGGGTAAGTGATGTTATGTTAATAAGCAGAACTGTTTCCTTGGGCCTCTGTCCCAACAAAAGTAATTACATTATGTTCTGACTGACCGTAGTTCCTCTTGTGTAGAATTTGGAAAGTATAAATTTATTTTAGTACAACTTTCTAAAATTGTGTTTGCTTTTATTATTAGGAACTAAATGACCTTCATATAGAAGCGCTTTCAGTGATAGCCAATTGCCTTGAAGATATGGATACCATGGTGCAGATTCAACAGACAGGGGGTCTTAAGAAGCTCTTAGTATTTGCAGAAAACTCTACAATTCCTGATATTCAGAAGAATGCAGCAAAAGCAATTACTAAAGCAGCTTATGAACGTATGTCTCAATTTATGTAATCTAAGCACACATATTCCATCTGTATTCTTGATTTTGATTAGCACTAGCAAACACTAGAGTATTTGTCTGCTTTTAAATGACCATTTGAGAATAGTGCTATACTTACTATTTAAGACCAAAATTCATCTCAGTGCCAGTGAGTTAAAATAGATATTGCTTTGTCAAGGATATACTAAACTGAACATGATTTAATTATAACCCTATCTATTTTAAATGAATAAGTCCTAAATTAAGTTTTAAGTCTTTATTTCTCTTGATTTTGGAGTTATGCAGAATATGCACATTGCTTGTGATCCTGAAAACATTATTTCAATAAATCCACATTTAGAGTGATATCTATATAGTAATTTCAGATTTCAGCTGAGTCAGTGCCATGTTATAGAGCTGTGAAAAATAATATGCTCATACTATACATAACACAATTTCATTTCAGTGGCAAGCTATGTTGACATAAATCTGTAAAATATGAGAGATTAATTATATCACAAGCACCAAAGATGAAATTATAGTTTTAATTTATGTATATTTGGAGTATATGATTTAGGAAAAGATGTGACTTTATTTTTCCCTTTCCACATCATTCCTCATATGAATGACAACAACTTTGACTAGTTTAAGTGAGTTATATTCTAAACAAATATACTCATATCTGTATATATACCTCTGTGTATATTATGGGAAACATTTCCTTTTCAACTCATACTGGTTTTCTTCAGGCGAGGTTTTAATACAGTAAGCCAAATTTCACTGTCCAGTACATAGTCGATATAGAGTGGCTTTTGAGTTACGTTACTAGTATATGTGCCATATCTAAAGACAGGCTATAAAAAACAAGGTTTTTAATATTGGCAAAAGTTGGTTGATTCTGCATTCTGTCTGATGGAACTAGACCTTATCATATCTGGTCAGTTCTTTTTTCTATCTATTGCAGACCTTAGCTGTTTGAGACCCAAAGAGAGGGTAGTAGGAAGACAGGAACCACTTAAAATTTGTGGATATCTCAACTTCTCTTTGGATTAGTATGGCTGGGCTGTTCAAAGATAGTGTCAGCCTCTTTTGGGATAGTGAGTTTCATGAGTTTATCACCTTCATGTGACACAGTAGGGGAAAGAACACCGCATGGAGAGTTCCTGGTGTTTCCGTTCTACTACTAGTTCCACTGCTGGCACTGCACTGGCCTCGATGTGTGACTATGAGTGAGCGACAGCTTCTCTGGGCCTCAGGGATCCTGGCTTGTTCCTGAGGGATGAGCATGTGGCAGCCTGGGATGCCGGAGGCAAAATAGGGCCTGTTCTTCCTCTGGTGGACACTGGGTGGGATTCTGGACAAAGCGTGCCTGCTGGGTGAAGAGTGTCTGCTGCAGGCCTTCCCTGCCCTTTATTAGTCAAGGAGGTGAGCGGGTGCTTCCCTCAGTGTCTTGATCGTAGGTGCTGAGGATGTCACGTCAGGTTTTCTGACAGGTCACTCAGTGGTGACGTCTGGGTCTTGCACATACTTTCTCTTGCTTGTGGGGTGGGCATCGGCCGGGTTGGGTGTCTCACGCAGCCACAGAGTTCTGTCTCGTCCTCCCAGGTTTCCTGGGGCCTCTTTTTGTCTCTCTCGCTCTGAGCCAGGATCTGTTCTTCATTGAGCCTTGATTTCTGCTCAATATCCCTAGCAGTCATGTAAGAACGACATGGGCTCTGAGGATCCTGGGGAGCCAATGGTTTCTGATTCTTCTTCAGCTTATTGGATCCTCGGGGCTGGGGGTGCTCAGCCCTATCTCAACGCTTCATGGGACACCTGAGGCTGCTTTCCTTGTGCCCAAAGCTCCCACAGATCTTGCATTTCAACTGGGGGAGAACAGGCCCTGGGATTCTCCTCCTCTGGTGGGGGAGCCTTGTGTGCCACTGGGGCCCTCTGTGGCTGCTGCCCTTTCTGGGCCATCCAGCATCTTCAGGGCCCTCGCTATGGGTAAGGATCTGCCACACCAACTATGAGATTCAGATCTTTCTGTCTCAGCTATGGACTTGGGAATCTCCCGAAAAAATAAAATAAAATAAAAGGAAAGAGAACCGTTTCAATATCACACAGAGAAACCTCCTCCTCCCCATTGTATTTTGAATGTGTTCTATATTTTGCCTACATTCTGTAAACATGTTTCTGCCAGAAATTGAATTCTTGATTGAAGGTGTTTTTTTCCTCCCTGAGCATGGCCTACAGAAATCGTTTAGCGATGTCAGATGTCAGGTAATTGTCACTCTTTTGAAAGCAATGTTTTCTTTCTGGTTACTTGGAAAGCCTTTTGGTCATAGCTGTTCTGTGATTTCACCAGGATACATTAATGTTTTATTTACTCTGGTTCATATTTATTGGGCATATTAAATGTTAATAAAAAATTTCTTTATTAATTCATTTATTAATGATTTACTGAGCTTAGCCCCTTGGTGTCCATAAAGGCAGAACAGGCAAATAAATAGGCAATCACAATGTAAATGGATTTGATGATGGAAGAATGAGGTCACCCCAGGAGGGCCACCTAAGGCAGACTTGGATCAGATAAGTCTTCCTGAAATAGAAAGGACCTATTCAGGCTAGAACCTAGAGTAAATAATAGAAATTGGCTGAGCAAAGGAGCTGCTGGTAGAAGGGGGTAGGATAAGTAGCACTTGAAGCTGATGGAACAGTGTGTGTAAAAGCCAGAGGGGGACAGAGGATGGTAAGTTCCAGAACTGAACGTTTTCAGAATGGCTAGTGAATAGAATGCAGCAGAAAACTGAGTGTTAAGGTTGTTGAGTAATGAGAAACCAAATGCTAATGGATGTTATAAGTCAAGTTAAGGACTTTGAACTTTATATTGATAGCAACAAAGAGCCTTGAATTGACATAGAAAGAGGAGGGAACATTGCAGATTTTCACTTTTCAAAGAAAGATCACTCTTGTAGAGCTTGCTATTTATCTTTCAGCTCCACTTAATAGATTATATTGTACAGCCCCTTTTGTCTTTATATTTTATTTTCTTTGATCTATCACTGATGAAAAGTGGTATGTTAGAGGCTTCTCATTATGTTGTTTCTGTTGATTTTCTTCCTTATAACTTTAACTTTGCTTAATTTAATATTATTTTATATCCACTACTCATTTTTTTAAAACCTCACTTACTGATTTTAGCTTTAAATTATAATATATATTAAGAATGCCATGGCCCTAGCCGGTTTGGCACAGTGGATAGAGAGAGCATCAACCTGGGTTCGATTCCGGTCAAGGGCATTTGGCCAGGTTGTGGGCTTGATCCCCAGTAGGGGGTGTGCAGGAGGCAGCCAATCAATGGTTCTCTCTCATCATTGATGTTTCTATCTCTCCCTCTCCCTCCCTCTCTGAAAGCAATAAAAATTAAAAAGAATCACTTAAAAAAAAAAGATTGCCATTTTATTATCAAAAATGGTCTTGGCAGAACACAGCTTTGCAAACTCCAGATGGTTTAAATAAAGAGAAAATAAAGAGACTATTTTACAAGTAGTCAAGGGAATAAACAAGAGATGGTAAGGTCCCCAGAAATTAGCAATATTGAGATATCCTCATCACTAGATCCAAAGGCAAGGGATAAAACATTGTTAGACTTATTTTTACAACTATTGTATTTGGCCTTATTTCTGACATCACATTTTATGATTTTTTGCTTTTTATTTTTCTATGCTCTCTCCTTGATTTCCTTTTAATTCTTTTTGTTACACAGATTTTTAAAATCATGGCTATTTTAAAGATAAATTTTCTACCTTAATATATTTAGCATTTTTGCTTTGGAAACTTTTTTTCTTCCTGATATTTGTACATTTCATAGGGGTTATAGCTTCTCCTCTCTAAAATCTATATAGCCTGGCCAGCATGGCTCAGTGGTTGAGCATTGACTTATGAGCCAAGAGGTCATGGTTCAATTCCTGGTCGAGGCATAAGCCCGGGTTGTGGGCTCGAACCCCACTGTGCAGGAAGCAACCAATCAATGATTCTCTCTCATAATTGATGCTTCTATCCCTCTCTCCCTCTCCCTTCCTCTCTGAAATCAAGAGAAATATATTTAAAAAATAAAATAAAATCTATATAAACCTTTCTTCTTTTAAGAATCACTTTGCCATTACATTCAATTTTATTCACATTTACAATTTTAGAGTTTTATACATATTAGATCTCTTTCAGTATACATTGTGAATTTCTCAAGATTTTGTTTATTTATTGTTAATCCTTACCTGGGGATATTTTTTCCATTGATTTTTATTTTATTTTATTTTAAATTTTATTTTACAGAGAGTGGGAGGGAGGGAGAAAGGAAGAGAAGGAGAGAGAAAAAGATAGAGAGAAACATCTATGTAAGAGAGACATTGATTGGTTGCCTTCTGCACGCACCCCGACAGGGGCCGGGGATTGAACCTGCAACCCAGGTACATGCCCTTGACCAGGAATTGAACCCATAACCCTCAAGTGAGAGGTCCAATGCTCTAACTACCAAACACACCAGCCAGGGCTAGATTTCAAGATTTTGTTTTTCATTTGTTTCTCAATTAACCAGAGTATATTTTTTTCAGTTCAGTATTTTTTTTTTTTTAGGAATAGTCAAGAGTGGCATATTTTTTTAGTCCTTACCTGTGAATGTCTGTTGCCTTTATACATACAGGGTGGGGAAAAAGTAGGTTTACAGCTGTTCATATGGAAAAGAATACAATAATCTTACCTAATAATAGACAAACATGTAAACCAACCGTCCCTGAAGGCTCCGGCCAGAGCAGTGAAGACGGAAGGCTCTGGCTGGAGGAGCGAAGGCCTGGGTCCCGGGTGCCGGAGGAAAACTGGTGCCGGCAGCCAGGGGAAGGGAAGGCCTATTGCATGAATCTCTTCATGCAACAGGCCTCTAGTTAATAAATAATAATACAAGAATAAACCCTGTTACTTCTACTCACAACTGTAAACCTACTTTTGCCCAACCCTGTTTATGACAGTGTAGCTGA